GCAAGTATGGACATGTGGTTCACATCTCGGCTGACCCCAACTCCAAGGGTGACATCTATCTCAAATTTGACAAAGTCCAGGGAGGCGAGAATGCCATCAAGGGCCTAAATGGCCGATATTTCGGCGGACGAATGATCGACGCGTCTCCTGTTGTAGATGCCGTCTATAGCAGTTTGTTCTCACGTACCCGGGCAATCTAAGCTAATATTTGGCTTGTCAACAACGCTCTCTAGGACTCTCGCAGGTTAGCAGAGTCCATATCAACTGGCTGAAGAGCACCACTAAGAATACCTGGTGATCAACAGACTTGAAGTCTCCGCTTTTTCCGGATTTACCTACGTTGTCATCTATATACGATCCTCGAGCATGACTCCTATCAAAAACTACGACTCTCATCTCAAGCATCAAGGTTTTCAAGTTTTGAAACATCACATGTCCTTTTAACCAAATCACGGTGTCGCAGGTTTCCGCCCCATATCCCGACCTACCATATCTGGACCCGATGCGCACGCGCTCTCTCATCCGGATCAATGATCGAACTCCAGGTTCAGCACTCGTTTAGTCGCAAGGACCTTTGCTGATGTCTGTACCCTAGGAAGTCTTCCCCTTTTAATCGAGAAGGGGCAGCAACCCAGCTTTGCACCTTTATTATCTGAATAGTTTGTTACAATATAGAATGTCTTGGGAGTGATGATTTATTATCTTTTATTGTGACCATGAATAGTGATATACAAAAGGTAAGGGAGACATTAAACACGGTCATTACTTTACTGATAATGTCCAGTGGCTCTCCTCAATGCATCTCCTGCTTCATATGAATGGAACGCGCCGTGTGTGTGATATTTAGGTACACAGGATGCCGATTCACCGAGAGCAGGGTACCCACCAAGAAGGGAAATGCCCTTGGGTCTAGTGTAAGTCTTGACGGTGATCTCGAAGTATTGTGTAGTGTCGAAAACAGTGAACATGACTCTCCTTGCCTCCGATCTACTTCCCTCATAAACTCAATCTGAGGAGAACGCGCTCCGTGGTGTTAGTTAAACAGCATTGCTTGAATATATGGACCTGGTTCGATCCCAGTGTCTCATCCCTTCACCTATTGTTTCACCGAGTGTTCGTCTCGTCCTTTGCTTCCGACTCTCATCTGGCTGATTATTTACTCTTTCTCTTAACCCTCAGGTCAGGCACCATAGCAAGTGCTATTGTTTCTGAAGAACTCTTTTTGAAATGCCCTATTGACCACTCTTAGCAATGTCACTAATCCCCAACCTTGTCAAATCAGACTGGGCCCGGTTTCCTGAGCTGCCAGTCACTGCCAGTGTCAGTGCCAGTGCCAGTGCCAGTGCCAGGCAACCGAGGAGTCAGTCACCTCGAAAGGGAACTATTTAGGAGGGTATATTTCAGGGCCCCTGTGGTCCTCTCTCTCTATTTCTGATCCAGTGACTTCTAGATTCACCCACCATCGCAAAATATAAGATCTTTGGTGATATCTGCGTGAGGGCAAGTTGCTATCTTTCATCTATTACCCTCAAGTCCACCGTCAGTCTTGATTTCTCGCTTGGCAAACAAGAAAGAATCCCTCCCGGAGTGTGCCAAACACAGGACGAATATCAAGCAAAAAAGTTTGGCTCGGGCTTGTTTTTTCAGCCTCTCTCTCCTACACTTTAGCCGCTCCTCAGTAAAGTACACTCATCATTTGGCCTCCACATATTCCTATTTCCATTCCTATTGTTCCTTCACCGAGCATCGCCCTTTTCCTACTCTCCAATACTCGAGCAAGTTTGCTCTGTCGATGATGACACACGAGTATAAAACGTCCTCTTCTACTGACAGTCACTTCGCGCCGAGTCAGCCCTCGTCAAAGTGGTCTTCCAGCATTGGGAGTCGTGATACCAAACCTTCCAACACGAACACCATGTTGAGTATCAACTTCTCAACACCTCTCGCGGGAGCTGCTCGATCCGAGAGGATCAAGCAGATGACCAACAATCACGTAAGTCAACGAATCTCTTCATTCTTTTGCTTGCTTTTCCATCCGTCTCAAGTCACAGCTCATCTCCGGGACAACCACTGACGCTGCCTCACAGCCCGCCTTTGAAAAGGCTCGCATGTCGCAAGAGATACTTGTCAAAATCCAGACATCTCTTCGCCGCATGCCTGGTGTTTCTTCCAAGGAATCCAATGAGATCATCACAAAGCTGCAAGAAGTCGGGCAAATCATCAGCTCAGAGACGAGCCAGCTTGTTGATGCGCTTATGAACCTGACCCTCGATCAAGAAGATACGGACAAGGCCATCGCGCGGATGAGTATCGAGGCCAACCTAGCCAAGGCAGAGGCTGATGACCAGAGCCATAACCTGGGTAACCTTCGCACCGAGCTGGCGGATGAGAAGGGCAAACGCCAAGAGGCGGAGGCCGAAGCCACCAAACTCAAGGGTCATCTTGAGAAGCACATGGATGAGTTGAAGTCTCTCAAGGCGAAGGTTCATGATGGTGGTTCTGAGGGTACCATATCGAGCGCCGTTCACGATGAGTTGGTCAAGGTACGCAGTTTGTTCTATATCACTCTAACAACAACTGACCAAAGTGTTCAGCAACTTGAAAACTCTATCAAACACATAGAGAACCAGCCCGATGCTGGCCGATCCACGTTGCCCATGAGCAACTCCAGCCCTGACTCTGTGGCACGCGCTCTTGAGACCATCGCTGAGGCATGCCCTGAGAGAAATGGTGCGCAAAAGTCTATCATGTCTCTGCGTCCTAATGGCACGGACTCTCCCAACAAGGCTGTTGGTATGAATGACGGCGCTCTTCAGTCTCAGCGTCCCTCCTCTGCTTTCCAGAACAGTCGTCCCCCCAATCTGCCCACACGCTTCGGCTCTCACATTGTGCCTCCTCCTTCTCGCCCAGGCTCTGCAGCTCCGAGTGAGCGTCGGTTCAACCAGTGGGGGGCTCCTCCTACTCCTGTTCAGAGCCAACCTCGCTACGCAGTTCCTCCTCCAAACGGCGCTGGACCTCAGTCCATGTTTGGTCGAAGTGCCCCCCGTCGTGGTTTCAGCAACGGTACTTATCGTCCTAATGCACCTGAATTCTATCCTCAATCCTACGGGCAACCTGACAAGGGGCCGTCAGCCCCGAACAATGGCGGGTTCGGCCAGCAGCGCCGGGAGTTTTACCCCCCTACCCCTTCTCACAACCGCAACAAGTACAGCCGCTTCCGCGATCCTGTCCAAGCTCCTGATTTCGCCGGCCCTCCTGGCGCGTTGACTACTCGTCCCTGTTTCCCCGGTCCCCCTATCCACATCACTGAAATGACTATTGGGGCCTGGCATGACCAGCTGACGGAACTTTACACGGCTGTCCGCCTCTTCGTCGACGTTTATGCTGATAAGCCAACTTTTGTCAACCCTATGGATCTTTCTAGCACTCGTCTCTGGCCCGTCCTCTTGGCTACTTATCATCCCCTCTCAGAGACAGAGGCAATCTCCTACCTTGACTTTCACCTCAAGGACAGAAGTTCCAAGTCTTGTCTTGTCACTCGCGTCATCATTGACTACATTGTCAACCGCGTCTGGGTTCCTCGGGCTTGGATGGGTGCTGAAACCGATGCTACCTACGGCCTCGCTGAAGTTGAGAAGGATCTTGAGAGAACTCAAGGTAAGACGCTAGCCCGGACAAGCAAAGTCATCGACTAACAAATGTTGCAGGCCAGACTGCTGTCCGTCGACAGCACATCCTTGATCGACAGGCAACTATTGTGGACTCTATCCTCAAGCTGGACAGCTTCGAAGAATTCAGCAAGGTCCGTTGCCGGGAGATCTCAGATGTCATCCTTCACATGATCGAGCCACTCCTAAACCCCACCGCCGATCCTGAGACTACCTACAGCGAGCTCGAGAAGGTCTCATCTTCTGCCTGGGCTCTGTCGAGCCGCATCCTCAGCAGTCGACTGACATTTGACTTCCGCTTCCCTGAGATCGGAAGCCGATTCTCGCACCAGTCCATGTTTCCCATCTGGCCCGACTCTGATCCACATGAACTTCAGGCTGAACATTGGCGAATTGCTCTTGTCACCACACCTGTTGTGACCTGCCGCAATGATACCGGTTCAAACATCTCTGCTCACTCAGTTTGTATGGCTGATGTTGTATGCATGCGATAAATGCATCACCGTTGACCTCTCATTGTTGTTGATCTGTGCGATTAACGTGAGGGTAAAAGACCTCTGGGTCTAGAGAACCACCCAGGTTCTTTCGAGTACGGTGAACACTACCACTGTACCATAATGTCACACTACTGTTGACACCGATTACGCACAGCCACGATGCTGTGACTATCTAGAAAAGGACGACAGATTCCTCCTATCATGGCGACTTAGAGACGGTCGTTCATAAAAGTCAGGCGATTTCGGGCGTTTAGTACTTGATTTCGGGGGAGATTTGCTTACTTTTTTTTATGCACATTTTTCTGCATTCACAACGGTATTGGGTTCACCTGAAGGCAGGATATAGGCATCCTCATATCGCAACTCATAACCCCTTCTGGAGATTACCGAGATATATACCCCAAAGATGGTGTTGTTTCTTTGCATTTTCTGTTTCCGCCGTGGGGAAAATAGGTATAAGGGGGTTTCTGGTGGTTGAAGATGTAATCAATCGTCGGGAAGCAAAAGCAATTACTTACTACTGGGTTTACGATCAGTCATGGGAATTGTTGCGACCTCAAAGAAGAAATGAGGCAGATACATTCAAACAGAGATGTAGTAGATGCGATTGATTTTAGGGGTAATAATTGATTTTGACGCATTAAAGTAGCGAAAACTAATTGTGATCTGGTGTTCTAGTGAGAGTCATCCCAGTCCTGCCTGTTGGCCTGTGAGGCCATCTTGTCTACCTACCTAGTCTATAGGAAGCCCCGAACTCCTGGTATAAATAAATGAAAAGCAGAATACCACCACCATAATACTAATACAATAGAGGAAACAAATTGTAGCCCCTTCCTTAGTGACGACGGCCCTGGGGAGAGCTACGGGTAGACTTGCGATCGAGGCGTCGCACAACAGCACCGAGAACAACCTTGAGAATTCCATCTGCGGTCAAAGCCTTACTATTGTCCGAAGTAGTGGAATTCCAAGTTGCTGTATCAACCATGTCGCGAATGCCCTGATCAGCGAGATCATCGTCGAGCTCACGCAGAGCCTTAGTGGCACCAAGCTCGTTGCCAACCTGGAAGAACTGAATACCAACTTGATGGGGAGGAGCCTCGATCTGATCAAGCTTCCTAGCGTGATGAACGATGATACTCTCCGGGTCGTCCGTGGGACATCCGTCGGTGATGACGATGATGTTGACCGGCTTGGTCGAGTCAATGTTGGCCGCACGGCGGGAGAGATGGGCGACGTAGGGCTTGAGAATGCTGTGAAGACGAGCGCCCGTTGGTGTTGCTCCGCGGGGACGGACGGACTCGAACAGACGTTGGACTTGGTTGGCGTCACGGATCTGGAAATATCCACCAGGTGCTTGAACTCCAGTTCCGGCGGCTGGTGATCGATGGTTCAGGAAGTAGACGTCAATACCATCGGGGTCGTGAGAAGTACAGATCGGGGCAATAGTGCTCAGCGCCTCTCGAACCTCCCTCCACGATCGACCAGCCATGGATCCAGAGTCGTCAATGACAAATATGGTATCGAAAGTAGACAGGAAGGCGTATTTATCTTCGGCACTGGTGATGCTCGACATGCTAGGAGCAGGTGAAGCTCCACGCTGAGGAATGTCGAGAAGAGGAGCGGTCTTTTGAGTGAACTCATAAGTAGGGGGAGCCTCCTCGGGAACATCGAGGAAGGGATTGTTGTTCTTGGTGTTTGAGTTTGAGTTTGAGTTTGAGTTTGAGTTGCCCATGTCGAGATGAGTGTGATTCTCGGTGGAAGACTTCTTGGCTGAGAACTTGTCCTTGATGCGGCTGAACATTTTTGGTGATGAAGGTGAAGCTGCGTGTGGCATGTCGCGGAAGGTGAATTTATAATAAAGTGTCTGAGTTGAAGGTTTGAGCAGAGAGAGGCTGTGAGTCACGCGTGCGTGTTCTTTGTTTTGTCGTGAGAAGCTTGTTCACAAAGTAAGTTCACAATGATGTGAATGGCTTTAAATAAACTTCTTGTTCGGTCGATGGTGGTGATTTGATTCGCCTTGTTCAAGTGGATTGTGAGTGTTGATTGATAATATCTACTTGCTCTGGGGTGGCCATGGCAACTCTTTATATCAACCATGTTGCATGTCGATGTTGGCTATAGTTGAATTTGCCTCAAGCGACGAAATTCATTCATTCAGTCATTCATTCATTCATTCCGCCTTGTGCTATCTCATGGTGTTTGTTCATTTCCAGTGCCACCCACTTGCACCGCCTTGTGAAGCGCAGTTTCTCCATTGTCGCAGAACCCAATACGTGGTTCGCCTTCTGGGCCGCCACAAAAGTTTTATGTACAAGGCATTCTCATGTGATCCCTGCCCGTACAGCCCCCCCTGGACACAGCCTCCGCCCCCACTATACATACATATGCACAACACAAGAGGCCCTAGGCCCCGCCACTTTAAGCCGACAGCTGACCAATCGCAAGTCTTGTTGTGATGGCTAAGCCCGGGCTGTCATATCAAAGGTCCTTCGTTCCATGCTGCTGGATCTACTAGTCTAGCCTGCCCAAGGTAGATCTTGACGGATCAATGACAGGTTGGACCCTTGCAAAAGCTTCTTGTCTTATCTAGCACAGGATAGTCAATTGGAAATTATAAGGCATATTATAATGGCAGTCAAGTCCTGAGGCATTCTTTATCTTACCTCATGCTTAGGAACATCTCAACTCTACTCCCTGCTTGTTGTGACATAATCCTCATGGTAAGCTCTTGTTGGTGTATCAAGAGCTTTGCTTGTTGTACCTGAGCGACCTGCAATCTCCATGCAGATCAGACCAATCAAAATACTTGTATATATTTTCCCTCTTGCGGGGTTATCCCTGGTGTTCAACATCGGGACGAACCATCCTGCACGTGGATGGATGCCTCGTGCCAAAATGAGCCTCATCGGTTCAACCTTGTATGACAATGCCAGTAGGATTGGCATGGCATTGCAAATGCAAGTGTATCCTTTGTAAATAATCACCTGCTGTATACTTCCAAGTATACTTTCTCTGCTAAACATACTGCCGTTTGCAGCAATTGACACACACACACACACACACACACACACATTGCGGGTATTTCAATGTTTTGCGCAAATGCGCACTTGGACTACACAAAGCATGACTGCAATCATCCATGCGGGCCAAGTCTTGCCAGAAAGCTACTAACGATACTTTCTCTACTTTTCAAGTACCTATCAATCCAACTTGAATGCACAAATTTTGATGCATACTTCGACAGATACTCAAATGTTGATTGTGGTTGAGCCAATATGTGCACTAGACTCTCTGCGCTGTCTTTCTATTTCAATCCGTCAAAACACTTGCTTGTTTTCGACTACTACGACCATGTCGGTTGACCTTTGACACATTTACAACAAAAAACTCAGACTTGCAGCCGGTCTAGAAACAGTTCTTGACAGGCCAACAAAGGTTCAAATTCTACGACAACACTGGTCAGCCTAGAGCAGTCCGAATGACTACTTGTCCCTCAAGTCGGTGCCAACACTGGCAGCTATCAAGCATCGGCAGACAGACGAATATCTCCTCGAGTTCACAGAAGAGTGGAATGAAATTAGCCAGAGGCTACCGAGAGACCTCTCACTCTGTCCAACTTCCACGACTGAAACTGAAAAAACACACCAAGCTACAGCTTAGAAGGCATTCAGCAGCAGACCCCAGCCTTTACGACAAAGGAAACTTTAATTTTCTGTTCCGATAGAAGCCTCTGATACTATCAAGTGCTGTTCCCAAAGGCTGTTCTGGAGTTCCCAAGCTGGTGGCAGAAATGTAAACGCTTCAAAAGTCAACGTTGGTAAGGAATTTGAACTGAGATGAGAGGAGCTGATTATTGCAAAGTGATAAAGGAATGCATTATCAGCCCTTTCCCTCCAGAGTTTAGGCTCTCATGCATGAACTTAGACTAAAGTCATCAAGATAAGGTTAATTGAAACGATTGATGGCTACCCCCCTGGTTAATCCTAGTGATTTCTCGTATAAGTGCCCCTTGGCCTCCGGAACTACCTGACCAGTACACTCAGGCTTGTTATACGCTTTAAGGAAATTGAAGAACTAATGTATTTGTCATTTTCCTCAAGAATTATGTTATGAATCTTATTCAGTTCCAGCGAGTGTATCGACATCGTCTACTATTAACAAAGTATAGGCCAGGAGTAAAGCAAAAGGAAGAGGCCACCATGAATAAAAAGAAAAATGTATAACGAGGTCTAAACGCACCCGCTAGATTCCACGGGAAAAAAGTTTCAAAAAGATCCCCACGATTATCTCCTCCAGCAGTCCATGATATCCCTCCAACTGCTTTTCGAGGACGCCGCTTCTTCCAATACTTTTACCCAGTAAGTCTCATCCCCTCCGGAGTCAGAGTCTTTAAAAACCACACCTCATACGCCGCGTCATGCAGTAAGGGGACACCCACAGAATTCCCCTCCAATATCCCTACTTGATTGCTCCCTGGCAAGACAGAGCATGTTGAAACAGACTGAAGACACAACTTGAAACGAGCTGCCTTCTCAGTCACAAAAAAGATAACTGGCAAAATCTGCCAATTTTCATATACTTTAACAAAATGATCGTCCTATCCCATCGAGTTATTATCGAATTTCAAGGACACCATTAGAAGAAAGCTTATCAAATTTAAGCTTGCTTGGGCTTGGGGCGGGGGAGGCCCTGCTCTCGACGAGTCTTGAGATCGATCTCAGCAAGGCCCAAGCTGGCATTGTAAAGCTGAACGCAGTTGATGAACTGCTTGAGGAACATAAAAGGAAAGCTAACACCGGCAATTATCCAAGGTACTGTAGAATCCATCTTGTTCGCACGTGCAAGCTCGAGAGCAGCGGGGCTGAAGGGGTCGGGGAAGATTTGGGCGAGGATCGAAGTGTTGACTTGAGCGCCAGCCTGGAGCTCGGCACCGACAGTCTGGATGGGCTTGATGAGGTAAGGCGAGACGAGAGGAGATGAGAAGCACAGGAGGTAGAGAGCGATGAAGAAGAGCTCGTTGAGGGCGCAAAGGGCGAACAGGACATTCTGGGCGCAATCAGTATATAACACAGGTACCAGTGTTTAAAGATCCATACCTTGTTCGTGTAGTAGAGGCGCAATAGCCAGTTCTTGCTCTCATCAATGCTCTTGTGGCTGGCGTTGGTGCCTGAGACAACAAGAGTGGCATACATATGCATGTAATGGCTGGCAAGGTCAAGAGCAATCAAGCCCTGGAAAACAATAGCCCATCGAGGGAAGGCGGAGGAGAGAAAGACAATAAGACAGGCTGTGGTACAGCGATCTGTGACCATATCAAGAACAGCGCCGAAGCGAGTGGACTGTTCGTAGATACGTGCGGCGTAGCCATCGAGGGCATCGAGGAGACATGAGACGCTGTAGAGAAACGAGCAAGTACGAGGATGGAGGGGCATGTAGTAGAGTGACGCGATAGCAAGGACGATGCGCGCGTAGCCTGGACAATCGTTAGTAAGCCTAGACTTGACTTTGAAAATGATTTCTTCTTATCATACCAATAATGTTGGGGATGAAAAGGAAGATGTTCTCGCGAGGGGCATCGTCCGAAGCATCCGCGACGCCGTTGGCAGACCCATTACCGTTGGATCTAACTTCAGGCTCGGAATCAGAGGAAGGGTTTTGGGCCTTTGCGGCCTGTCGTCGAGTTTTTGGGCTCATGGCGTTAAGGAGGTCTTGTATTATTGTATGTGAAAGGTGAAGCTTCGAGTTGTCGTGATTATCAAGGTGGTGTGGCTTATCATGCAGCGGCGGCGGAGTTGGGATCGAGATAACGGACAGAATCTGCGAAAGGGGCAGGGATTACTTGGCGCTGTTGAAGCTATCGAAGAAAGAGGCCAAATAGGATTTATAGGTAAGTTTGTCGCGATTCGCGAGAGATTGACAAAAGAGACTCGTTGAAGATGTCAGAAGGAGTGGATGTGAAGGAAGGAAAATAGAATCTAGGAGGAAGCTCCAAAAACTCGAGTCGAGCGGAGGAAGCCAATGGGTGATGACGAACGGCGGAAGGCAAGGTAGGTAAGCTTAGGTTAGGTTAGAGGCTCCCTTTCCATGAGATGCTCCCGCCAAGCGAACAACAGGGGGTGGTTTTTCGGTAGTCTCGGACATGTTTAGAGCTTGGCTGCGTGTAAATTCAGCGCCTCGGTGTGTTGATTTGCCCGCTTTCCACTGGCCGAGAGCTCCAAATTTGCACCAACCGGGATTGATCCCCTGAAATTGATATCCGCTCATGGCAAATTGTCAGCTTAGAAAGAGGGCGCCTGCTCCACTTTCAAGGTCGATTTCTTGGATATTTGCCAATTGAACAACACAACTCATCACCTCACTATTTAAGACGTATGATTTGCTTATGAGAGTCTCAAGATCCAGGTCGCATTGATTGTGAACTCGGCCTCGGCTTGCAGAAACAACATATGTTTTTCCATATCACGTTATGACTTGTCTCGTCAAGACGTCGAGTTAGGTATATCCGGCGAGTAACATGCGGACGAGACGTCGCACTGGTAATAATGCCAGAACAGATAGAGTGGGTGGTAATCGCTCCAATATAGCAGCATAGGTAAATAAATTAATTGCATTAGTGGGAAAGCATTTAGATCGCGGCCCATATGAATTGCCTCGGTTGAGGTTGTCTTTGAATAGGTTGATAAAATTGAGCCTAGAGAACCTTCGAGTTCCAACACAAATGCACGCTTTAATGTTCGTCCTTTAGCTCGCTACGATGCCTTACAATGACAGCTGGTTCTTAATGACCATGAGCCCAGTTAT